CTATGATTGTTTTGTTCTAATATCTGTTTGTTCTGTCTTTTCACAAAACTAGTATGTGAAAAATGCGGAATACCTGTTTTGGACCCCCAAAATCGGAATTTTTGCTTCCAACTTTTTTCTGAGCGAACGAGTTCACGCATATCTTTTTGTAAAATGTTAGTCACTATGATTGTTTTGTTCTAATATCTGTTTGTTCTGTCTTTTCACAAAACTAGTATGTGAAAAATGAGGAAAACCTGTTTTGGACCCCCAAAATCGGAATTTTTGCTTCCAACTTTTTTCTGAGCGAACGAGTTCACGCATATCTTTTTGTAAAAGGTAAGTCACTATGATTGTTTTGTTCTAATATCTGTTTGTTCTGTCTTTTCACAAAACTAGTATGTGAAAAATGCGGAAAACCTGTTTTGGACCCCCAAAATCGGAATTTTTGCTTCCAACTTTTTTCTGAGCGAACGAGTTCACGCATATCTTTTTGTAAAATGTTAGTCACTATGATTGTTTTGTTCTAATATCTGTTTGTTCTGTCTTTTCACAAAACTAGTATGTGAAAAATGCGGAAAACCTGTTTTGGACCCCCAAAATCGGAATTTTTGCTTCCAACTTTTTTCTGAGCGAACGAGTTCACGCATATCTTTTTGTAAAAGATAAGTCACTATGATTGTTTTGTTCTAATATCTGTTTGTTCTGTCTTTTCACAAAACTAGTATGTGAAAAATGCGGAAAACCTGTTTTGGACCCCCAAAATCGGAATTTTTGCTTCCAACTTTTTTCTGAGCGAACGAGTTCACGCATATCTTTTTGTAAAATGTTAGTCACTATGATTGTTTTGTTCTAATATCTGTTTGTTCTGTCTTTTCACAAAACTAGTATGTGAAAAATGCGGAAAACCTGTTTTGGACCCCCAAAATCGGAATTTTTGCTTCCAACTTTTTTCTGAGCGAACGAGTTCACGCATATCTTTTTGTAAAAGATAAGTCACTATGATTGTTTTGTTCTAATATCTGTTTGTTCTGTCTTTTCACAAAACTAGTATGTGAAAAATGCGGAAAACCTGTTTTGGACCCCCAAAATCGGAATTTTTGCTTCCAACTTTTTTCTGAGCGAACGAGTTCACGCATATCTTTTTGTAAAAGATAAGTCACTATGATTGTTTTGTTCTAATATCTGTTTGTTCTGTCTTTTCACAAAACTAGTATGTGAAAAATGCGGAAAACCTGTTTTGGGCCCCCAAAATCGGAATTTTTGCTTCCAACTTTTTTCTGAGCGAACGAGTTCACGCATATCTTTTTGTAAAAGATAAGTCACTATGATTGTTTTGTTCTAATATCTGTTTGTTCTGTCTTTTCACAAAACGAGTATGTGAAAATAGCGGAAAACCTGTTTTGGACCCCCAAAATCGGAATTTTTGCTTCCAACTTTTTTCTGAGCGAACGAGTTCACGCATATCTTTTTGTAAAAGATAAGTCACTATGATTGTTTTGTTCTAATATCTGTTTGTTCTGTCTTTTCACAAAACTAGTATGTGAAAAATGCGGAAAACCTGTTTTGGACCCCCAAAATCGGAATTTTTGCTTTCAGCTTTTTTCTGAGCGAACGAGTTCACGGCATATCTTTCCGTAAAATGTTAGTCACTATGATTGTTACGTTCTAATATCTGGTTGTTCTGTCTTTTCACAAAACTACCCTCCAACCCCTTCTAAAGGTTCCCTCGAACCACGCAACGACACTCCGCTATCCCGTTCGGCGCGCGCACAGTTTTGAATTTAGTTTTGAGTGATTGCGAGCTTGGATTTGGCTCATGGTTGTTCTAGCGACTCTTTTAAGGATTTCAAGTGAGTTTGCTTGAATTCTAAGCTTGTATTTGTTGTTTCTTTCTAACTTGTTCATAATAAACCGATTTTGTTACATTTCTTGTCGATTTTATTCTATTTTATCACAGGAACCTGATACCCCGGACATACCGCGGGCAATTTGGGGGCCGAACCGTTTTTTTTCCGTTTATCCGTTCTTTTACTTCTTTCCCGTTGTTTTTGCATCAATTCTCTCCATAGTTTGAAGGATCCAGTGAGAGGATTGTTGTGAAAATTAGTGAATTTCGCAAGAATTTCTCCGAGTTTGAAGGAACCGGCATTAAATTCTTGTAAAATTTGCGAAGAGGACAGTCGTGCAGGTGAAGGCCTGTCGAAAAGACGCGATATCCGTAGAAGATTCAACAAAAGCCCAACATTCTTTTGAAAGAAAGATTTGTTTTCAGGCTTGGAGATGACGACGATCGGGAGCAAGTCAAGAAGCAACAAGGACAAGCCGGTGGATTCCGAGAAGAGTGAAGCGAGGACGACGACGATGGAGAGCTGGGCAGATGCGATGCAGAATCAGGTAACGCTGAGAGAGCGAAAGAAGCTTGTCAAAGGTTACTCTGATTTCATCGGAACCAGTGAGACAGTCGTGGAGAGTGTGCGTGAGCAGTTGGGCGTGCACAGCAAATGTTCAGAGAGACAGAAAGATGTGATCGTGAAGCCAATGAAAGAGTTTGTCAGCAAATTGACAAAGCGCTACAACGAGCTGGGCAGTGGAAAGTGGGAGCGCGTTGTGATGCGCATAATGCGAGAAAACGGGCTGGAAAAATTGGAAGACTTGCGGGATGCGGTCTTACCGGATAATTTGACAGCGAGCGCGAAAAATATGGAGTCAAAAGTGGTTGATAACCATTTGAAATTGTTGCAGGACGGCTGGCGAAAAGAAAAGGAAGAGCTCGAGGAGGAACTGTCAAAATCGAAGCGAGAGAACGATGAGGTGGTCGAGAAGCTTGAAGAAGCGTGGAAAGCCGCCGAAGAGGAAACGATCGAGGAGCTGGAAAGGGCACTTCTGAAGGAAAGGAAAACGTCGGAAAAATGGAGAAACCAATTGGAACACGATGAAGGTAAGAAGAGAGAAAAATTTTCAGGAAATAAAGAGAAAACTCAGGTTCATGCAAGGAGATCGCCGTCAAGAAGTTCTAATGGTTCGTCGGTGGATTGGCACAATGAGAGGAAGGAAAGAAAGACCGGTGAGTCTTTTTATAAGAAGGGTGACCTGAAAAATGAGCGAAGTGAAGACTGGCGCGTGAAGGTGAAGAATTGGAGCAGTGCGGGGGATTTTCCGGAAAGAAGTGTGCGAGTCAGCGAAAGAAGAAAGTGTGAGCGCGACAGTGAGAGATGTTCGCGAGTGTCACGGGACAGTTCGCGAATGGTAGTGGAGTGCCTAAGCAGAATTATGAGGGCGTCAGCTCTGCCAGAACCAGAGAAGTTCGACGGAAAAGGAGATGTCAAGGAGTTTAAGAGATCTTTCCCTCTGAAGTACAAATCGGTCACGGAGCGTGATGCCGATATGGTAGCAATTCTGGAGGACAAATTTTTGAAAGATGCCGCAAGAACCTTGTTCAAGACACTTCCGAATCGATTTAATCGATCGATCGAGTCGCTGTTTGAGGAGTTTGAAGAGAAGTTGAGGAAGAGGCGAGGAGATCGTGAGGCGGAAGCTCTCAACGAGTTTGAGGAGCTGAAGCGAAAGCCGAAACAACCGATGTGGGAGTACCTGATGGACGTGAAAAAGTGGTCAAAGCGAGCGTTTCCCCATCTTGAAGAAGAGACAATGTCTCAACTGAGAGTCACGAAGCTTATGAGAGCGCTAAGGGATGACCCGACGATGCAAAAGTTGATGACGATGAAGCGAAATGAAGTGGCGAAAAAAGACCTGTACGAGTTCCTTAAGGATATCGTTCTCCAGCAAGAGAACGAAGACAAGAGAAGGCAAGGGCTCGGAAAATCGTATCGACACGAAAAGAAGGAAATGAGCTGGAAAAAGGAGGACAGCAAGGTTGCGAAGCAAGATAATGCTGAAGCGAAAAAAAAAGAATCAAAAGGCAGTAGCAATGGGAGCAGAAGTCAGAGTGGAGACCAGAGGAAGGCAGAGATAAAGTGCTATAGGTGTCAAGAAAGTGGGCATATAGCTAGGGACTGTGATGCAAAGGTTATTCATCACGTGGAAACTGATGGAACAGGACGCGGTGTGGCGCGAAAATGAGGGAACAAGTACAGTTGTTGGGTCAGAAGCGCTTGATGGTTATCGACAGTGGCACAGAAGTATCGGTCATGTTGACAAGAGTGTGGGAGGCACTGAAGAAAGGATGTGAGAGCTGGAGACGTAAGATCGAAGTACTGGCGAAGCCACCATTCGTCGTGAGGAATACGTCAGGAAAGAACATGCCAGTGAAAGGACAACTGAAGATTCCAATCATGGTGAGAGGAAACAAAGCTAATGTGTGGTTCCAACTGGTGGAAGACAAAGCTGAAATCCTCTTGTTCGGAACGAATGCTTTCGAAAGCATCGGGGTTGAGCTGGCATGGAAGCCAAAGCAGGAAGAGCGCGTAAAGAAAGAGGGAAAAGGTCCAAAAGCGAAATGGGAGACAAGTAGCGCTACAGTTAATCATATCATG